CTGGTCTTCTCTCAAATGGATGGAAAATACACACTGTTACTATGCTATTGACACCAAAAACCACAGATGTGGTATCCCTTGCTTTCAACAAGGCTGCTGTGAAATTCTTTCTGTGCTCCTGTGATGGACCATTGTGCATCTGAATACTTGCATGATCTGTCATGCTTGGCCCTTTGCATTTGGGAATGACCCTTCTTGAATTCTGTTATTTATGGTTAAATACCCATTTGTTTTGTTCCTACTGAGGAGGGATCTATAGAACTCATCTGCTTTATTTTGGAACTGGCAAGGCCAACAGCTAAGTGGGCTGGCTGGTGGTTGTAATTGTTCATGACCTTCAAACATCAGGTTCTTGTCATTACATTATTTTATAGCTGAATGACGGGAAACAAACATTAAGGGAAAAATTTCACAGATGGATGTGAAATTCTTGTCTCTTTGGAATAGGACTCCTGGACCATAGCAGCACCGTTGTTATTTTGAGATGGATAAATATTTTTGTTGAGTGGCTGGCTCCCCTCTGCATAATTGCAAGTGCCAGGGAATCTCTGAGCTCTATTAGGTGATAACAGGAACCTCTGCACCCCTTCTCCTCACGAGTGATCCCCAAAATGTCTGTAGAAATTGCCAAGTGCAAAAACTAAATGAAAATGAGACTCAGGAGGGTGCCAAGTGGACAGAGATCATAGCATCATTTGAGCATATAATCAGATGATTGGAAGGGGCCTGAATCCTTAAGAAAGATTTCTCCAGAGATATGATCTATGCCAAAGCCCCAATAATTCATGAGTTAACTAAGCAAAGACAGACTTTCATTCATTATCTGAAGAAGTATCTAGTAAATCCCTACAAGGTGCTGATGCTACAGCAGTAAATAAATGAACCAAACCAAACCAAACAAGAAAACACATACTTTGAAGCTGCTCCTTTACTAAGGAAACACAATTAAAACCAGATAAACAAACAAGGCAGAGAATGTAGGGTTTTGTTCTCCTAGGGCAAGCATGGAAATTTATTCTCTGAAGAGCTGACCGTTTGGTTAGTCCTGGAATAAAGACAAAGAGGTAGCCCATGCCAAGAGCCTAGAAGAACTGAATGCCAGGGAGGGAAAGCCATGGTGCTGTGTACAAAAGTTACCTTAGGAAAGAATGTAATAATTCTCAGACCCAAATCTTTGCATTCATGTGGAATCCTGGCCATAGCATTAACAACTAAAATGCAGAATTACTTAATAGCTCAGCAGCTTCTTGAATGACCCTCTTTTCTGGAATTCATTTAGATCGAAGAGGACCTGCACCCAAATCACCACCAACACAGCAGAAATCAGAGACACATTGTTAGTAGAGTGAACATTGTCATCGTTTCCAGGATAGTTCACTCACAATCATGTAGATGGAACACTCTAGAAAAACAGTCACTGGCTGTGTCTTATGGCTGAAAGGAAAGACTCTTAAAACGTCATGGGCTATAAATCTAGACCCTTTTGCTTGAAGATCAAATTTCCCCATGAGATAAACAGCCTGCAATTCCTGTTAACAGCATCTACAAGATTGTTTTATAATGAGGTAGGCAATTGACAAGATCATTTAAAAAGAAATAATGTAGAAACATATCCAGGGGCTGTGCTTTCTAATAAAAAGGTTACTTTCCATGACAGACAATATTTAGCAAAGCACTCTCTCTGTATTTATTTTTATTCAAACAAAAGCAATTTCCAAATTCTGGTTCCTCACACCCATGCTGAGAATTCAGAGGACTCAGAGGTCATGGCTACTAGAAAATTTTAGGCTGGAAATGTGAACTATTCTTGTATGTTATCAAAGAAACTGCAGCTCAGAAATGTTGAATGCCTCGTGGGTTTTCAAGACTGTGGAAGGGAGCACTTCATGCTTTTCTCAATTGTCCCTGTTCCTGTTTCTGGTAACTTGTCACAGTCACAGACATTGATACGTTCTTCATTGTTTTATGGTTGGATTCACTTTCATTTAAAACCACAACACAAGATGCCAATTCCTTCAAGAGGTGTTGTTCAGAGGAGCAATTGAAGAAAACCAACGGCAACTTTCAACATAATGGGGAAACCCCTTTAGTTGGTATATACTCTCTGCGCATGTACTGGGTTTCATGAGGACATTTTCACACAAGCATATAACGTACTGAGAGCCTATTCCCTATGCCCCACCCGCACCTCACCTCTCCTTATTCCCTTCATTCCCCTAGGTTTGCTTCTACTTTGATGCCACAGATACATATGATTTTATTTATCTACACAAAACCTAGGAGCCATAAGTTTTGAAAAATCATACTTTCTTTCTGAGACTGACTTAATTCACAAAATAATCTCCAGTTTCATCCATTTTTCTACAAATGACATAATTTTGCTCTTCTTTATGACTGAATGAAGCTCTACTTGTGTACATATACCACTTTTTTTTTCAATCTTCATCCTTTTGAGGAATCTCAAAGCAAGAACTTTTAACCTTCCCATCTGAAATACGTCATTTAAAACAATTTTCCATCCCAAAGTTTTCTAGTAGACTCCATGCAATGCCAGAAAGATCAAGGATCCTGGACCAAGAAGAAAGGAGAAAATGTTCTCTACCTTGGTCCTGGATAATAAGAAAAATGACCAGCTTAAAACTTATTGTCAATGTTTTCAGTAAAATTAGCTCCTTGTTTAAATGTTTTGAAATAAAATAATTAAGACTTTGAAAATGACCAACTGAAATAGACAAATAGAGTGTAGAATATCACCAAGTGGATAAAAATTAAACTAGATTCAGATCCATCACCTTGGATAAACCTTTATAAGGCTGTTATTAAATGAAACACACAGGCTAAGGCACCTTAGGGATGGACTGACAGAAGCATGCATTTTCAAACTGCAGATTGCTATGCTAGGAACTATTCATGGATATATACGTATACACACAATCCTGGATAGAGTCGAACAAACTCATGTTACTGGTTACTTGTGGAAAGTTGGAAAGAATAATATTAGGAATGGGAGACAAAGGGAACTTCAGCTTCCTCTAATGTTTTACTTTGATTAAAAACAAAGAATAGCAGTCAGTCCTGAGTGGTAGCTGTGTGTGTTTGATATAGAAAAACAAAACAAACAAACAAAAAAACCCGTTTCTGAAAAAGAAAAAAAGGCATAATATCAGACGTATCATGGAGGTTTCCGGTTTCTAAAACACCTAGAAAAATGATCTCCACGCTTTCTCAGGAGAGTATTGGGTCCTGACAAGTTCGCTGTGTGTTGCTATGATTGATTGATAAATAAAACGCTGTTGACCAGTAGGCAGGAAGGATAGTGTAGGCGGGACAAGGAGAGAGGAGAATGCTGGGAAGTGGAAGGCTGAGTCAGGAGCCGCTGCCAGCTGCTGCCATGGAGAGCAGAATGTAAAGTACCGGTAAGCCACGAGCCACATGGCAAGGTATAGATTTATAGAAATGGGTTAATTTAAGATATAAGAACTAGATAACAAGAAGCCTGAGCCATTAGGCCAAACAGTTTAAATAATATAAGCGTCTGTGTGTTTATTTTATAAGTGGGCTGCGGGACTACGGTGCTTGGCTGGACCGGAGAGACTCTCCAGCTACAGCTGTGTGTTTTGTTTGCTTTGGCAGCACAAGCAAAGGACCTGCAAGGCTCTGTGCATGGCTGAGCTCTTTACCACTGCTGACTCAAGGTGTGTGCCTCTTGCCGGCATCTTCTTCTTACACCCTGCAGGGCAGTCAACACGCTACCTCTTCAATATTTTACTTTTCTCTAAAATTGGCCTGCTACAGCAAGCGAGAGGAAATGGAGGGAAACAGAGGTGCAGAAAGTTCTGGAAAGTACGTGAACGGAAGTGGAACTGAACTAACCTTATCAGCATTAGGAGCGATTTTTTTTTTTTTTTTTTTTTTTTTTTTTTTTTTTTTTTGGTTTTTCGAGACAGGGTTTCTCTGTGTAGCTTTGCGCCTTTCCTGGAACTCACTTGGTAGCCCAGGCTGGCCTCGAACTCACAGAGATCCGCCTGGCTCTGCCTCCCGAGTGCTGGGATTAAAGGCGTGCGCCACCACCGCCCGGCTTGGAGCGATTTTAAAACAGGTGATCCCGTGACTGAAATGCCATCCGTTGTCAAATGCATGCTTCAGAGCCAATGAATATTGTCATTTTTTTTAACAGTGCACAATGTTTGAAATCATGTAATTGGGAATATCACTTAAATCTTAGCAAAAGAATAGAAGCAGATGCCTGTATTGGAAAAGCCCTAGGATAGAAGCCAAGCAGCCATGCTTCAATTTCCTGTGATATGATTTTGTATTCTTCTGCAAATTATCTCCATGTTCTGAGCCTCACTTTCCCAGTTTTCTGAAGGAAGAGTTTGGGAGAGGTCAACAGTCCAACTGGGGCCCCTTGAGTCCTATCAGGAACGCAGATACCTTTTGTTTGACTAATTATTTTTAAATGGCTTTAAATTAATTGCTAGCATTTAATAATCAGAGTTTTTAAAAATAAAATCCCAAGTATGGCCTGCTATTGTTTTAACGGGGGTGGAGGTGGGGGTACTGGGTAGCAGGGGACCCTGTGGTCAGAGTGCGTGTTTCCCATTTTGTGGTGGTCTCCACTTTGTTATCCTGACCCTCTTGGTTTAGTTGTTTTGCTGCTTATTGTGCCAAAATGACAGACAGGGAACACCTTGACAGAGGATGGGTTTACCTCAGCTTGCACTTTGAGGAGATACAGTCCACAGTGGCAGTGAAGGCATGCTGGCAGGAACAGGAGGCTGCTGGCCACATTGCATCTGCAGTCAGGAAGCATAGAGTGAACAGGAAGTAAGGCTAGGCTATGAAATCTCCCCAGGCCTCCTGGTGACCCACTTCCTTTATTGATGCTCCACTTTCTGAAGGTTCCACAACTTTCCAACACAGGGCCATCGCCTGGGGACCAAGCAAGTTTTCAAACACACAAATCTCTAGGGGACTATTTCTAATTCAATCACAACACCTGGGCTTCCATTTTTATTTAATGTACTTCGGGGTATGACAGCATGTACATCTGTATCAGGGTGCCAGATCCCCTGGAACTGGAGTTACAGACAGTAGTAAACTGTTACTGGGTGCTGGGCATTGAACCCGGGTCCTTTGGAAGAGCTGCCAGTGCTCTGAACCACTTGAACCATCTCTCCAGCCCATTCCCATTGATGTTTTTTGTCAAGTCCTAAGCATCTGGTTTAATCACCCATGGACACAAAGTTCTCCCAAATCCTCCAGGTTTTATAGGAGAAAGGGTGTTGGCATTAGTCAACAAGGCATCCCAAATGAAACAGGCCTAAAGGAAGATGTATCAAGGCCACCCACAGACTGGAAGATCCCTTCTGGCCATGTCAGAAGTTGCAAGCAAACTATATTAAACTGATGAAACTTTTAAAGAACATACCTTCCTTTTCTTTTTACATTATTGTCATTATTTCGCATGGTGTTTACACTAATCGTCTTATACAATGTCAAATAATGCAATTGAAGTAATCACATGAAACAGTGACAGCCGAGTTGGTAGAACTTCTGCTTTGCTTCATTTTTAAAGAAAACTGTAAATTTTTTTTCAGTGAAATACCCCCAGAAGTAGATCATGACATGTTTGTAGAAAATTAGTTCAAAATTCTAGAATAACATGAGATTCTTTCCTACACGCCCCCACTCTTTGTTAGACTTTCCTTTCATGCTTCTATCGTTTACAATAATAAGGATTGTCCCAGAAGACACAATTAATGACGTAAGCCAGGGTCCGAAGGAAAACCACCCTGTGATCTCGATCCTATGTGGAATCTACACACCTTGAGGGCTGCAGGCTAGCTCAGTGGTTGGCCATTTGCAAAGCACTTACAGAGTCCCGACTTTCAAGTCCAGCACTAGAGGAGACGTGGAAAATAGAAAAGCTCATGTTGAGTCAGGTAGATGCTTCGTGGGTAAAGGAGCTTGTGGCCAAGCCTGATCACCGGTGTTCAGTCCCGGGGACCCAGATGGTGAAAGGAGAGAAATGACTCCAACCAACTGTCCTCTGACCTCCACACACGTGACGTGGCAAAGCACACACATCCTGCCAAAGCAAATAAGTGAATGTAATAAAACTTTATGTCCTAGCGAGAGAGAGTGTAATAATGGTCACTAGCCACTAAGTTTCAATTAAATAGAATTTCAGGTAGTTGGGTATGGTTAGCAACCATGTATTATGTATATTAACATGCTGTAAATAAGAGAAGATTTTTAATGTTTCACAATATTAGAAACTATAACTGAATACACTCATTTCCCTGATTTGATACTTATACATCATATTCATGTATTGAAACATCACTGTGTGTCCCTAAGTATTACCATGATCATTTTTCAATTAAAAATAAAATTTAAGACGTCCCCTTTTAGAACTAATAGGATGGTGTCAAACGGTGCCCTGGGTCTGGAATCTTCTCTCTAAATATGCTCAAGCATGCCCACCAATCCACACGCTTAGGTTAACATCTCCAAATTTTAGCCATCAGTGAAAAACAAAACCTAATGACACCAACAAAATCCTGCCAAACAGGCTAGAACTGACGCTAGTCTGTAGTCTCTCCAGGGCAATGGGTCCTGCCAAAGCCGTCACTGAGTCACTTCCCCGAGACAGTCGGGATCTTCGGGATCAGGTAACATGGCGGCAGAATGGTAGAAGAATAGCTGTCTATGGCTCGTGGAGTGTCCTTGCCCTTTGGAGGGAAAGATGCTGCTGCCTGAGTACTCCGATGTAATATTTCATTAGATCTCCGCTCTCCTCTCAGGCTAGCCCATAAGGGGCTGGATTGCTGCACTGGCTGCTCTCCAAGGCGTTTCAACCAGTTAAGTGGCAAAGGAGCATCATTAAAAAGCATTTTCACATGTGAAGGGCATAGTGATAGGCCCTTAAAAGGCAGTTATATGCGCATTTCTGTGAGGTTCAAATTCAGTTGTATTACTTGCATAACGTGGAAGCAAGGGAGAGGAGCAGCCCCACGGCTCATGCCTGTGTTCACAACTAAGCTGCAGCAATAGAGTCACATGAGATTGAACATTATGAAATTCCCAGTATTTGACTCTGGAAAGCAATTTCCCAGGATTGAGCCTAATATCCACCCTGGTTTAAACAGCATTATTTAAGCTTTCATATTCTGTTTTAGTTTCAGGGCATCATAGTTCATGCACTTAAAACACATACTGTGTGTTCATTCACATCACATCACAGACTCAAAAGTTAGAAATAATATTTTTATGCTATATTTGAGTGTAAAATCCAACAGCCTTGGAGACCTTATTGGAAAGAGAGGATTTGGTTTCATCTTGCTGTACGTGAAAAGGCCCTGGGGTTGATGGAAAGATGACGTCATTAAACACCTCCCATAGAAGCAGCAAAGAGAGGGTTACCCTTTGTCAGTTACAATGCACATTTCATGTCTTTGGGGTGGAGAGTCTGTGTAGAAGTTACGTAGAAATGTATGATGTCATGGTGCTCTCAAAGAAGGAACAAAATGGCCTGGAGTATATCTTTGGATGACCATGAGCCTCCTTAGCATTTGCTGCTATCTAAGGATTGTTTTAGAAAGAAAACACAGCCACTGGCCTTGAACCAGAGTAGCTCCAAGAACAGTTTCTGATATATCCAATGTCACTATGGTTCTATCTTTTTTTTTTTTTTTTTTTTGGTTTTTTGAGACTGGGTTTCTCTGTGTAGCTTTGCGCCTTTCCTGGAACTCACTCTGTAGTCCAGTGTTGCTAGAGTTTTCCTGCCTGGCCCACAGTCAGGGCAAATCTCTTTCACCTGCCAGTCCCACAGCCGCTCAGACCCGACCAAGTAAACACAGAGACTTATATTGGTTACAAATTGTATGGCCGTGGCAGGCTTCTTGCTAACTGTTCTTACAGCTTAAATTAATCCATTTTTATAAATCTATACCTTGTCACGTGGCTCGTGGCTTACCTGCATCTTCACATGCTGTTTCTCATTGTGGAGGCCACAGCAGTCCAGGCTGGCCTCGAACTTACAGAGATCCGCCTGCCTCTGCCTCCTGAGTGCTGGGATTAAAGGCATGCGCTACCACCACCCGGCTTCTAAATTTTGAGACAGAATTTTACATTGCAACTCAGGCTGGTCTAGAATGATATTTCTTGAGGGGCAGGATTACAGCTTTACTACCAAGACTGACCCAATATTTTATTTTTTAAGTCCTCTTGAGAATCCCCAAACCAGTGGAGAGATGCTTAAGCCATTACACTAATAACAGAAGTACCCCAAATGGTGGGGTTCCCAGGTGTGGTACCCAGGTGGGGCCACCGTGCTGAGTCACATAGACCTAGGAGCCAGCCAAAGCTGAATTAATAGCTGACTAATCTGAGCACATCACATCTGCTTCCTGGTTCTGCCTCTTCCTCGGTCTCCTTGTCTAGAATGGGGACTGGAGGAATGAATGCTTCCTAGGGTACAAAATTCAGTGACCTCCCATATATTCAGGGAACCCAAGTGCGGTTATCCTCATTACACATAAATGGACACTTGCTCACTTGCAAGCCTTTAGATACAAAACATGAGAGCGTTCTTATGCGTTCTTTTATCCCAAATTTGAGTGATCAGCAGGAAATCTTTGGAAACTGCAAACTTGCTAGAATTAAAATATTGCTGCAGGGATGGCATGACTTTCTTGTAACCTTGTCTTTCAAATTTTACATAAAGCAAACAAAAGAGAAAATCAAAGAAGCTTAATTGGTATGGGTGAATAAGACACAGCCCATCAATAAAATATTTGGTTTATATATGTGTTTGCACATATATTTTTAAAGTCTGAAGTCTATAGGTTAAAGGTTTTTATCTGGAGCAGTGGACTTGTGCATACTTTTCAATTTCTATTATACAGACTTTGTTGTATTCAAATCAACAATATCTTTAAATGAGAGGCTGGAGAGATGCTCAGAGGCTGAGCACTGGCTGCTCTTCCAGAGGACCTCTGTTCAATTCCCAGCACCCACATGGCAGCTCACAACTGTCTGTAACTCCACTTCCAGGGGAGTTAATACCCTCTTGTGGCCTCTATGAGCACCATGCACAAAAATGGTAAATAGATATACATAAAAACAAAATATCAATACATATAAATTAAAAAAAAATCCAATGAGCATTTACCTACCATTAATCCAGAAAAAATGAATACTTTTAAAATGTTCTAATTGGGTATTTATAGTATATGACCTTATCAACCCAGTAGCTAAATTTCATGTTACACATACCAAAACACTCCTTTATGCTGTGAAAAACTAATGTAGGGCTGAAAATGAAGACAAGAAATTTCTGAAGAAAAAAATTCTTTTAATTGACTTATTGCAATGTTTTTCAATACTGCCCAACGTGGAGTTATGTATTTACTGATTATACGAAAACTACGAGAGCTGTTAATTATTTTGTTTTGAAACACAAATATTATTTTTTATCTAGATGTTGTCCCATTTCGATTATCTGACAATCCCTATTTAAATTAGACACATAGACTTGCATATTTTATTGTTTGTATATTTGAAAACAAATACCATACATCCTTTAAGGATTTTGTTCCTCTTGCGTTTCCTCCCACGTTTTTATGACAGCATCACCTAGAGAACAGACTAGTCAAAATGAAAGAGATGCTTCTTTATATCAAGACTTAATGTAACCCCTTGATTTCCTTTACTCCGGGTATGTGTACTGTTACTTTTCCTCACTCTGACCAAACACGTGGCAGAAACAACGTAAGAGAGCAAAGATCAGCTCAACTCACCGGTTCAGACAGCCCATTCTGTCGTGGTGGGGAAGACTTGGGGCAAGGCATAGCAAGGTTCATTGCATCGCCTCACCATAGGCCAGGAAGCAGAGAATTGGGGAACTAATCCAGGCTACTACCTTGAAAGGCCCACCTCCAGCAACCTATTTTCACCAGCTAGGTCCCACCATCTAAAAGGTCTCCTGATTTGCAAAATATCCACCTAGGAGAAAGCAAAGGCTCAAAACATTCGCTGGGGGGGGGGGATATTTTCACATGGGTGTGCCCATTGAACAGGCATTTGTGGAGTGGTTTGCCAAGTTTACAGATGGGTACCATCTCCTCCCAGGGCCTTGTTCTCAGGCTGGTCAGCTGACCTCTAGACCTTTCGTCCTTCCTCAGTAGAAGTCCAAAATTAGAGGTCCATAAACTCAACTGACACTGAATGTGCTCCCACTATGTGTTAGAAGCTGAAAACGTCAGGTGTGGACCTGGTTGCAGGGGGCTTCCTTCTCTTCCCAGGGGTGGGTGGTAGTGAATGGGGATGGGGGGTGGGAGGAAGTGACATGGTGCCAAGTGATCTGCTTACACAGCTCAGGTCTGAGAGGGCAAGTAATTACCACTCAACAAATGTTAGCTGCTCATTCAGTATTTTCTATTTAATGGAAAGCAAACAGTCCACTCAGCACCAGAAGAAAATTTAATTAGAACTTACGCCAGGCACGCATGATATCTATCACACATCAAGTGTCTGTCACTTCAGATCTTACTTTCTCTCTGCTTGCACCCCTTCCCATCAGCAGCTGTACCACATCAGGCCAGGAAATCCAAGGTCCTCTCTCCCTTCCATCTCTGTGTAGGACTGTGATCTGTTAAGAAAGAGATGAGCAGAAGAGTAGGAACAGAAGAAAGAAGTCAAGAAAGAGAGGAGAAAGGAAGAGAGAGGAGGGTCAAACCCCAGTATTGCAGAAACATTAAATTAAATATTCACAAGTGACTGTTCAACAAAACGCTATATAACTGTGTAGTTGTAGATAATTAGTTTTGTAATGGATTTACTTTGAAAAATGAATTAACAGCAAGTGTGTAAAGAAATGAAGTGTGCGTGGGAGGGGTGCATTTAAGGAGCTTTGGGACATGCTTTCATCCAGCTCAGGCTTTCCAACTTTGGCGTTCTACTTGCCGATTCAATTGGATAAAACAGAGAAAATACCTTAGTAGTGGGTGTTTCATGAATGGTCTTCTCCCTTCTTTCTCCCAATGACTGCATTAAGCTCAGCATCAGATCGAATTGCGACCTCTGCTCTGTCACTATCAGCTGTTTGGAGGGAATCTCTCTGAGCCTCCAAATAAAGCGCAACGCGGTACCCCTGACTCAGAGTGAATAAATGTCTAGTGTGGGACAGTATCACACACACACACCCCCTTTCTTCTTTCATGCAGAGCCATCAGATTGCAGGAGTCTTAGTCTAGTGATTTCTCCAGCCCCACTGAAGTCCTTGGAGATACCTTGCATTTCCTACCGTCTCCCTTTATTCTAAGGTCCTGGGGGTGCCTAAATCCGGGAAGTGCAATCGAGAGTCACACAGCTTTTCCAAGTCAGGGCTATGCACAGAGGCGAGCTCTCCTGCCTCCTAACTGCACCTTAGGACCGGCTTGCGCTGGGTGCCCGCTGCCTGTGCGCGCGCAGGCGGCCGGGCGGGCTGCAACCGCGAGGCCGAGCGCCCCCTCCCTGCTCCGCTCCCCCTCCTCCTCCCGATACAATGACTGGGCCGGAACAGCGCATCCGCCGAGCCTCATTGGCAGGGCCGCCCGGGCCCCCGGAGAGGCGACGGGCGGGGGCAGCGCAGACAGAGCGGTGGAGAGCCCCGGCTGACAGCGGCCGGAGGCTGGGCCGAGGGACGCGGGGACACTCGGAAGGCGGCTCGGGGCTCCTCCGCGGAGTGTGGGGATCCTGGTGAGGACTCCGGACCAGGGGATGCTGCAGGCTCTGGCTGCCAGGCTAGCGGCTGCAGAGTTGGACTGCGTGTCTCCTCCGACGCTGAGCCCAAGCCTGGGCGGAGAGGAGGAGGACCGAGAGGAAGACAACCGCCGCGGGGGAAGGCGCCACGCGCCGAGGAGTTGCGGGACTGGCGCAGAGCGGGTTCCCCGGGTCCCGCGCGGTGCGCAGCGCAGACAATAAAGTAGCAAGGCGACAGCCCCGCGCGTCAGAGGGAGGAGGCGGCTGAGCAGGTAGGTGGGTGACTGTCCCGGGGATGTCGGACCGCACTGTCACTGGAGGAGGGGGTCGAGGTTCACCTCCGGGCCGCAGAGTGCGCCCCCGGCGCTGCGCGCAGATTGGGGACCCTCAGAGAAGGTCCCCTACTCCTGCCACAGGGAAGCCCCGCCCCAAGGCTCCAGGGCTGGTGCAGCCTGGACTGGAGTTTCTAGGCACTTGGCGCCGCGCTTTGGTGGCTCCGGCGGTGTGGTGACAGGAAGTTTGGCGGGTTCAAGGCTTTGATGCTAGTGGGGTTTGCGAAAGCGCTGACTGGGACCATGAGCTTTTTGCTTTGGTGGGAGGTATGGAGAAGAACCGTTGAATCCCAGACCCGGTTGCCCGGAGATGCCCTCCGAAGGCAGTGGAAGAAGCAGAGGGGTTCCCTGGCGTTAGCCGAGGGCAGCTAGGGTTTGGCTTGGCTGCCCTTTGTAAATAGGCGTGTCACATCCTAGGCGCGCCTGTATTGGAGATGCTGTGTGCGTGTGAACCGCTCCCTGTCAATTTTCTGGAGTATCTCACTTTTCATTTTCATCCTGAGAAAGCGTATTTAGCCCTAATTTGAGAAGTGTTATTTCGTTTGGACTAGAGGCCAAAGTCTCCCTATGCATGGCGCTCTTAAAGATGCTCCTGATTAGAGCTGGGTGCCATTTACAAAGGGGTAGAGCTGGACTCCAGTCTTCCCCGGGTCTGAGAATTCAGTGGCAGGAGGAGGTCGCTAGCTCTTCTTTGTGTGGCCGCTTCCTTCCTTCCAGATGTGAGAGGGTTGGGCTGGGCGCTTCTGGGTGCGGTAATAATTATCCCGAACATTCCTGAGATCTGCTAGGACTTGTAAACATACCAGGGCCAACTCCTCTGAACTTTGCGGGCTGACTTGATGTGTTTGCTGGTACCTGGAGGGCCGCGACTGCAGGGTGGCCCCGTGGGGAAGGAAGACGCCACGGTGCTGACAGCCACAGTCTCAGGAAAGCTGCATGATTCTTCAGGGTTAGCCTGAGCTTGCCCCAGAACTGCACCAGCCAACTCAGAGGATGTGTTAAAGATTACAGGGCAATCCCTGACATGCTGATTCTTGTCCCAAAGGGGGTGGATCTGAGGAACTTCCAAAGCCAGTGTCTGGAAGGGAAGAAAAACCTCTTCGCCTTACTTAACCCTCTCTAGCCGCCCTTTGATCCGTCACACACAGTGCGCAGTGTGCTGAAAAGAACTGGGGAGAGCTGTGTTAGGCAGTCTGGCAGGCAGTTTGCAGGCTTCACGAGTAGTCCAATAGTAAGGCAAACCCTAGAGGGATTTTAAGGACCATGCCATTAAGGCTTACTAGCAATTCATCTAACTTCATGTTAGGCTTCCTTAGCAGAACAGGGTCACTAGAAGGGACCCAGTCATGTTCTGTTAATGATTATGAAGAACAAACAAACAAATCAACAACAATAGCCACCTTGCCTTTTCTTCCTCATACATTTAATTTGATATTTAAGAGTTGATGGAGAATCAAGAGTTCCGAGTATTTTTGCTCCCAAGTTCAATGTTACAAAATAGCTAGGAGGTTATTCTGTAAACAACAGCAGGCATATATCCGCACATGTCGTGGAGCAGTACCTGTATTTCCCAGAGGAGGTCAAGAAAAACTCGGGGCTTCTTGGAATAGAGAAGATTTGTCATTTGTTTGGGACATAGTGCATGCGTTAACCAAACGCTTTATTTGCTTATATTTGGTAATGTGGGTAGAAAGTATTTGGATAAGTCAATGGTGGAAAATGAAGAAGTCTACCTATAACACTCACAATGAGGTTTAATTTTCATCATCCGCCAAGTTCTCAAAAGGTCAGGCTTCAGGGCATGCAAGTGTTTGCAAGTTCACAAGTTTCCATGTTAGCTACAGAAAAGTTAAGGGTCCTCTTGTAGCACATGTAGAACTACACTTGAGCCTAAAGAGTCCAGGAAACTGTGGGCGGAGCTAACTTCACAGCCAGTCCAGAGTGTGGGGTAGGGTATAGGGAAGAGCTGCCTGGTCTCCGAAGAATTTATCATTTCTAGTCTCTGTTTCTGGCAAAACTTGGGACTCCCCGGTGTCCATTTGGTGGCACGGATTTAATTAAAGCTTTGAAATGCTTTTGCAGGAAGAGAAAGGAAAATTTGGCTAACTGACAACACAAACAGGGTGCATGGAAGGTAGTTAAAAATATCTGATTTTCATATCCAGTCTGCAATGATTTTCTGAATTGCACATCTTTGCACACATAAGTAAAGGCTTGGAGCTTGCACTACAAATGATCGCTCTCTCTTCCTTCGCCTGTCCTCCCCCTTTTCTCTCTCTCCTTCCCTTCCTCTCACTTAACAGTTTTATTTTGTTTTAGATGATCTTTTGCTTGGTAATGAATTTATTTCTAAATCCTTAGGGCTTTCCCCCACCTTCTCTTCTAGTTAACATGGGTCCTGGGCTCTCAGAAAGATGTCTGAAGATGGTATTTTTCTGTTGCTAGATGCTTGATAAAAAACCATCTTGGTAATTTGGGGGCCAAACTTATTTTCTTTTGTAAACTGCCTTCCTGAAGTTATAATGTCATAAAAAAAAAAGCAAAGACAAAACCAAGTTCTTCCTTATGAACTCAATTTCTAAACCTTATCTCACAGGACAGTGTTTTTCAAAATGAAGGTCATAAACTCTATTTACTGGTCACAACCAATATTAAAAGACTATATGACGAGACAAGAGACTGGCTCTGTGAGAAGTTGGTGAGAGTTCTGTGGCTTTATGGAACTTTGAGTCAGATTTATGGGGTGGGGCTGACGTTCTACGTTTGGGGCTGCAGCATAACGTGCCATTTCACTGTGAGTTACTGTCAAAGTTTGAAATGCACTGCGACAGAGGGTGTGTATCTATCAGTATTGTTTTGCTAAGTGGGAAATACAGTTGTAAGTGGATTTGGGATACTTTATAGACATCACAAAGGCACTGTGTCTTTTCCTGTGTATGGGTTTGTGTCATTAACAGGTCAGAGAGTACTTTGCTTAGAGATGAAAAAACAACTTCAAGATCTGCTTTCTTCTCAGTTTTTAAAAGCCCTGCTTTTCTATCTGTATACTGGGTTCCTTTTTGTGTGATAAGAAGACTGGATAGTATAAGTTGTTGCTGGTTTAGATGGATATGGTTTGAGTATGGCCTTCAAAGCTTCATGGGCTGGACACCTGGTTCGCAGTGTGGCCATATGGAGAAGTACAGGGCTTTGGTCACAGGGGTACCAGCTTAGGAAGGGATTGGTGTAGTGTTTCTAGGACCTGGGTCAGTACCAGAGAGAGGTGCCGACTGAATCTCTGAGTCTTCCCACCTTACTGTGTTATCTCTTTCCATTATGAACCCCCTTGCCGTAGGCTCAACAGAAGGGGTCACATGATGTTGAACTTTTAGTCTAACAAACTGCAAGCTCTCTTTGTAAGGTTTCCAGAAAAAAAAAATCAGTCTGGTTGACTTCTCTGGAGGAAGATCCTGTAATAAATGACTTCTGGAGTAGAGAACTATGAGGACCATGTGACCTGTCACATGAATACAGTTGCTGGGGAAGAGAATTGTACACAGTCTGGGGCAGATGTTTCAGCAAAGCACAAAGGGCCTAATGAAGACAACTGATTCCTGACTTCTTTGATGTCCTGCATAATGGAGGTAGAGCTGAGCTGTACTCCTGCAAAAAGGTTATCAATATGGTTTTTCATGTGTATAAAGAAAACCCCAGCTGCCTCTGGACATGGTCAATATAGGGGCTTATGAGATCAAAATGTAGAGCAACTGAAATTGATAAGAAGCATGCTGCTTTCAATGGGACCTGAGGGAGGAAAGTAAATACATCAATTAAATATCCACAACACACCCAAGCCCCTCTTATCAGGGATGACCATGCTTGTTTCTACATGCATAGGCAGATCTTGGGAGGCATTTATTTTAAATCAATTTTTTATTCTAATGTGATGTAAGTTATTTAAGTTGGTCTTGGAGGAGATTATTTGGAGAGTGCACCCCTTTAAGGCCCAGGGCCAACCGAATGCTCCATTGTGCAGCTCTTTAGCCCTGAGCTATGTGTTTGGGTCTGTGTTACTTTTCCCTTGGGGAATGCACTGCTTTTAATTGTCTCCCGTCACTTCATATACAATTAGCCAGTGGGAAGAGAGCCCTAATTGTGCCTGGCTACAAGGATAATGCTCACTCACAGCAGAGGGTCCTTAGAAGTAGGTTGATCATGCTGACTTGCCTTAGGTCAGTCCTGATTAATATCTGTGCCTCCAGTATGGATGGTAAATTGCATGGTCACCCCACCTAGGAGGCTATTTTGGAGGGCTATGATTAGAGTTTGTGTAATAGTTTAAATTATTTGATAAAGCATTCCTTCGACC